AACAGCGATGAATGGTTACAGTATTATGCGGTCAAAAGATGATGCCTTTCCTACGGTACTATGCAGAGTACATGTGTCCTGATTGCATGTGGCTGTTAGCTTTGGCCATGACACAGGAAATACTGACCAACAAGAAAAAGGGTGGGGCTTACATACAGAGGAACTGTCATCGATCTCAGGGATATCAGGTCAGGTGCAATATCACTAAAGGCCACTAGATGGCAACATGTGAACTAGATATACAAAACGTCCATAGGAAAAGGTATAGAGAAAAACAATCTATATAAAACTTCTATCTAAATAACTTCTATGCCCCATTGGGGCGGCACACTCCCCGTCTGGCATTGTAAATGTCACTATTTAAATCATGATGGTAGTTATGCAGATGCAATTAACAATGTAATTTGCTTCGATGTCTTGAAACCTGAAAGACAAAGAGAACATGCAAATAATGCAATAACATTAACTTTTAAAGTCCATAAACTTGTAGCTTGTCCTCTGGACCTAAAAAAAAACAAACATATATCCACAAGTCCATATGTCAGATGAAATCTGGAACAGTCCTTTCAAATGCAGTAGGTCACCTTCCATGGGTGGCAACTTGTAAAGTTCCTTAGTGAAGAAACAAGATAGTCTCTTTGGCAGGCTGAAGGCACTTCAAATAAGTCCATCCCTGGATGTGCAGGGTGCACGTAGGTACCTGGAGAACATGGTGCTCATGTAACTCCAGCTGCAAAGTCTCCATGTGAAACAGGCACAGTTCCATGCTTCTAGGTGAGAAGAGTAGCTGGGGTAAGATTGGCTGTACGCTTTGAAACTGTAATCTCATCACTCTTGATGAATAGATTCAGCTTGGCAGTAGGATTGTTTTTAGCAATGTCTTGCTTGTCACTAAAAGATTTTATCTCTGTGCTAGAGATGTTCTGTTCTGCATTGTATAGTAGAATCAGCTGGCTTTGAGCAATGTCTTTTGCAGAAAGATGTTTTTGGCATATGTGCCAGCCCTGACAGTGAGTATCCTGTGGCTTAGTGTTATAGCAGTGTGTGGTATGGACTAACCTTGCAGTAGTGCGGTCAGGCCTTGTCCACTTGGTGAAATGACAGCCCAAGACGAATCCTTGTTCAGATCTGGTTGCAAGGATTTTGCCTTCAGGACGAATCTCTGGATCTCTGTCAGGATCTAAAGGACTGACGACATCAGCTGTGGTTTCTTCTGGATGATCCAGCAGGAAGTCAGGACCTGTTGACCAAGAAGAAATTGTGAAGACACTGGCAGACACTGGCCTGGTGGCATGATCTGCAGGATTAACTTCTGATTGAACATAATGGCATTGTTCAGGCTTGGAAGCTAACTTAGCTTTGCCAAACAGAAACCCTATGTGGGTGTGATTAGAAGAGTCTCTCAACTTGATGTAGGCAACAGCTGCTATGGTCTCAGTAGATGCATCTGAGGAGATATGAAGCTCTTTCTTCTGACTTGCAGCAAGGGAAGCTGAAGTGTAGCAACTTTACATTTGAATTCCATGTAAGGTATGTAGAGATTGCTGTCTCTGTAAGGATTTACCTTGTATGGATTGACACCATGAGCAGTGTCCCGGAAGCTTAGTCCAGGTAGACGTGGGTCTGTCTTTGCCAACTCTAGCTCCATGAGGAGGTCACCCAGATCTTGGAGCTTGTGATAGTCTTTGTTCCCTATTTTTGGGAAGTTTTGCAGTCTCTTGAATAGAGCGCTTTCTATGGCTTCTGAGCTACCATAGGCTTGCTCAAGTCTTGCCCATGCTGCAACAAGACCTGCATCTGGGTGGTCAACGTCTACTGTTCTCAGTCTTTTAACACGATCTGCAGATTCTGGCCCCAGCCACTTTATGAGCAAATCAAGTTCCTCCTTGGTAGTAAGGTTGAGATCAGCAATAGCAGCCTTGAAGGTTGATCTCCAGGCCCTGTAGCTCTCCGGACAGTCATCAAACCTTGAGAGACTAGTGTTAATGAGCTCGCGGCGTACCATATATCTGGCGAAGTCAGCCATGTCTGATCTCTCACACTTTGGTGCCAAAGTAACTTGTGGAACCCCTTGTGTGTGAAAGTTCTCTGGTGATGTAGGGTGAGGTTTACCAGGATAAAATTATGTTGCATGAGCATTTAACTGTGGTGTAGTCTCTAAGGCTTCTGCTGGCTGTGGCTTGTTACTGGAAGTCACCTTGTTGTTGGCAGGAGGTGATGTGGTTCGCCGCATAGATGCACTTGTGTTGTAGACTTGAGGAGGCTCAGGTATTTGGAGCTGAGAGGTCTCTGTGTTGAGTCAGAACAGTGTTGTTAGTAAGAGGTACAGGCGATGACTCTGTATCTTTGCAAACATCATGTTCAACTGGGTCTTCCAGTTCTGCTGGGATAAGACAGTCTGAGTTAGTACTTTGTCCCATTGCTTGTTCAAGGACCTTCAGCCTTGCTAGGGCACCTGCTTCCTCTTTCTCCATTTGCAGAATCTTTATTTGGGATTCCATCTCTGCTTGGCGAGTTTTGCTCTGAGCTTCTATTTCCGCTTGGCGAGCTTTGCTCTGAGCTTCTATTTCTGCTTGGTGAACTTTGCTCTGAGCTTCTATCTCTGCTTGGCCAGCTGCCATCTCTGCTTAAAGAGCTTTGCTTTGGGCTTCTGCCTCTGCTTGAAGAGTTTTGCTTTGAGCTTCCATCTCTGCTTCTTTCTTAGCAAGGGAGCTTTGCGCTTTCCTGGATTCAGCATCAGCGCGGGCCTCTATTAGCTTGTCGCTTAATGTTGAACTTCTGGAGCGAGAGGATCTAGAAGAACGTGCAGTATGCTTGGTTGATGTTGATCTGTGAGATCTGGTCTCCTGCAGCTGAGCAATGCAGAGTTCTGCCTTATAATTAGCATTTTTCATTAAGAGATCCCTTTGTTGGTTCAGTGCATCAGTTCTGGTCAGTTCTGCTGAAAAGTCCTCTATGTTACAGTCCTGCAAGAAAGCTGTGTATTTTGCAGACAGTCACTGGTAACGTTCATACGCAGCACATAGGCGATCTATAGAGTCTCTCAATTCAGCTGGTTGATCATTAAAGTGTGACAAAACTGACATGCATTGTGAAGTTCTGTCCCAGAGGTCTGACAGATTGCTGGAGAACTCATCTCTAGTGGCTTCATAGTTTTCTCTGAGTTTCTGTGTCGGTTTTATTGTACGTTTGGGTCGTACACTCTGTTCAGCAATATCTGCAGAATCAGCTCCCTGTACATCTGCGGGTTCAGAGGCATGATGTATCTGCGTTGGTTCGGCCATAAAAGAGTGTTCAGAGCCTTGTCTAGACATTTTTCACGGTTTTGCAAAAAATGGTACTGTCTCTTTAAGAAGACGAACAGCAGCTTAGACAGGTGGGGTAACACAGTTCAATGTAGAGAAACAGTTTTCAACATTCACATGAAGTGCAGTAAGCTTGTGCGACCAAGTGCTTTCACAAGATGGCGGATGGCACTGAGCTTGATTGCAGATTAGGCACACACATGTACATAGGCTGTATGATTTCTATGCATCTTTTGACTATTCTGACTCCGATTGTTGTGATAGCGATTTATCCCTTGTTGAAACCTATATGCCTGGCCTGTATAAGTTTATTCAATCACTGAGGACAATCCTTGTCAGATAGCTGAACTCACCAATACCGTGTTCATGCACAAAGGTTGCTTTATTCTGAACGTGAAGATAACAGGATAACAGCGATGAATGGTTACAGTATTATGCGGTCAAAAGATGATGCCTTTCCTACGGTACTATGCAGAGTACATGTGTCCTGATTGCATGTGGCTGTTAGCTTTGGCCATGACACAGGAAATACTGACCAACAAGAAAAAGGGTGGGGCTTACATACAGAGGAACTGTCATCGATCTCAGGGATATCAGGTCAGGTGCGATATCACGAAAGGCCACTAGATGGCAACATGTGAACTAGATATACAAAAAGTCCATAGGAAAAGGTATAGAGACAAACAATCTATATAAAACTTCTATCTAAATAACTTCTATGCCCCATTGGGGGCGGCACATAATTGTTTTTTCATAAACGGAACAGAAAGGCTTTAAATAGATTTTGATTTTTTTTTTCGCCTAAACTATTTTCAATTTTGTCAAAATGAGTATACATATATACATCGTGTTTGTATTGTGTTGATTCATTTTATTTACCAGAACTATGACATCACACACATGCCTTTTTCTTTACTCAGAGCGACATTTGTCCAGTCACGAAGAATATTCTGGGTGGGAGTTGAAAGTCCTGTACTAACAGTAAGTGAAGCCATTTATATTGAATGTATCTCTAAATAGGAATGAAGGTAGATTTATGGGCCCCTTAACAAAATCCAACAATAGGGTCTTCATACAGCAGTATCCTATAACAGTAATCTAGCAATTGTTGCTTGCAGTTTCAGTATAATATCTGTAGCACAGATAAATGTGCGAGAGCTTACTTTCACTTGAGTTTTAATGCTGGACCATCTTTGCCCAATATTCACTAAATCCACTAACATTTAATGACTCACTTTAGTTTTTCCAAGGTTATCAGATGGTGTTGATTGGCCAAGATAAGACACTTGCTTTATACAAGTGTGTAAAAGCTGTAATATTGCTTATAACTCTAAAATACAGAAATATGTCATAGCTTAAATAACTTTATGACTTTTTTTTATTCCAACTTGCTCCCTATGACATTTACTGTTATTTGAAATTGAATAGCGCTTACTTAAATATGCTTGGAAACAACATTTTGGAGAAATAAAAAATAGGACATGTTTTAACCCATCACAACCAGTCAAGTTTCTTATAATCTTATATTTACTTGTTCTTCTAAGTATGGGCACAGACATTAGAAATAAATCTGCTGAAAATACAAATTTTTGTCAGTAAAGGGGGAACACCCAAAGGCATTGAGATCATCCCCCTAACCATCTAGAAACAGATTGGATATTATAACTGTCATCTTAAATGTTATGTTTCTCCTAGCCAGAACGAGTTTGTTGGCACAATGACCATCCTCAATAAGGAAGAGTAAGACATATAGTACTTTTGCCACATATGGATTTAAATCCATTATATTTAGAAACAAAATGTTTAACCAAATAGTTTTTAATCACATGTACATCATTTGATATATATATATATTGTACAGTATAATATAGTTTCTACACTAATATGATTTTTTCTGACTTCAGAATGTCAATAGTCCCAGCACATCCATCATTCCTCCTACAGTGACTATAACAATTGCTAGTAATACAACTGGTACTACCTCAAACTCTTCCAGTCCAAATTCTACCGCTCCTTTGACCACTCCCGGGAGCACATCTACGTCAGCGATCCTTACTTCTATTTCTCCACCCACTCATATAAGTCGGGATACCTGTGGAACCCAGAAAATTTGTCTCAGCAGCCCTTCTGACTGTGACCCTTCCAAAACCACTAACTGCCACTTTATGTCCTCAACCAAGACAAGTAATGGAGGCTATCACTTTGAGATTAGCGGACCAGCAGCTGGATATGTAGCCTTTGGATTTTCAGATGACCAATTTATGGTGAGAACAATTCTGTCCCAACATTTGACATTACCATCTGTGTATTGTGTCTTCGTATTGCAATTGAAGGCAATGCATTTGTAAATAGTAAGGCAAGAGTTTGTTATACATTTCTAACATATATCTCATATTACTGATTTATTTTATTTCTCTGCTTTATATTATTACTTAGAGTGTATGTCAAGCTAAAACCTTTTTTTCTAGTTTTGTAGAGTGGTGAAGCATAAAAATCTGGTAAAATGACAGCATACGTAAGAGTAAATCTCTCTAATGCAGCCCAGAATGGCAGCAAAAACCTGACAGTTCCGTTCCCCACTCCATCCAAAGCTAAGAAAAAAAACTTTTGTGACTTAATATACACTATAAAGATTATAAATGTACAAAAGACATGCATTTTGATTCGTTTCTAATTTTTTGTACTTTTGCACTCTCTAGTGGCTAGACTTTATTTTGCATCAGTTAAATTAAACTAATGATATTAGTATTTGCCATTTTTTATCTTAAAATTCTAAAATATTGCAAATGAAAAATATTTTGTTTTCAAAATGTTTAGAAAAATTAAAAAAAATATTACCACAACACTTTTGTTGAAAAGAGACTTGAGACTTGGGGGCCACAAAATCAAAGAAAAATATTTAGATTTTCTGTGAATACACTTCAGTGACATTTCTGCTGAATTGATGCATATTTTGTGTTTGTCTTTGTAAAGTTTGCATTTGTTTATCGTATCTATGGATCCATATGCAAGTGATTAGTGATTATTTAGTAAAGGTCCACAATAAAAGGTCATTTACTCCTTTGGTTAAAACACATTGCCAAACTTCCCTTATTCTGATCCAAAGGATTCACTGTCACTGACCAGAAACATGTACACAGATCAGGAGTTCTTCCAGCCACCACATTATCATCAAAAGCTGTGCTTTGTGAATGGCAATAGACACCATTCCGATGTGGCAGGGATTCTGAAGTGCAGCTCCAGGTGTACATTCATGAAACAACTCAGTTTACAGAGGACTGTCCAACTAAATTAATACTTAGCAAAACAGCAGCAGATGTAAAACATTATGAAGAGGTTGAAATGCCCTGCCACCATTCCGCTCAGTTCCTGGAACCCATTGACGTCACTGGATGGCAAGAGCTGAGTGGGATGCATCCCCTCCCCCTAAAGCTGGCTATACACCCATAGATTATCTACAGACTTTCTATGGTCAGATGGAAAAAGTGCAACAGATTCCTCCATCTAGGCTAATTAGGTGTGGATGAAGGAATCTCCCCCTGGGCCAAGCTTCAGTATCTTGCTAGTTGGCCCCACTGGCTCTCAAAATAACTGAACAATGCCTGCATCCAATCAGATTGCTCAGGTATTTTGAGAGCCAGCGGGGCAAGATACTGAAGCTTGGCCCAGTGGGAGATTCCTTCATCCACATAGTTTAGCGTAAATGGAGGAATCTGTTGCACTTTTTCCATTTGACCATAGAAAATCTGCAGCTAATTGTAAGGTGTATGGCAGGAAACTGCGTTATGGGAGGCAGGTAAGGCAGAGCCTCACCTAGTATTATGGAGGAAAAAGCTGTCCGCTTCAAGTCTGAAGCTGCCAGATTTTTCTCCATTCAGATCGGTTTCTAGCAGGTTACGTAGCAGGGAAAGCCTTCCCGCTGTGTAACCTGTAATTAACAGGCAGCGCTGCATCCAGCTTTTGACAGATAGGTTACACAGCAGCGGGCTTCCTCACTGCTTGTGTAACCTAACTAGTGAGGCTGGGGAATGCCTCACCCGGAACCAAAGGTACCGCACATCCTTGGTGTATGATCAGCTTTAGTGTGCTTCACCAGCATATACCGCAAAATATCCCGCATATCTCGAAAAAATGCTAGCAACCCTGGGCAAGACCTATAAGTTGTATTGAACTTCAGCAATGAAAAATCAAGCTGCTTGCTCTGATAGACTTGGCTATGCTGTTTGGCAGAGCTATGTAAATCTGAGTATTAGATGAACTGCATTACAAATCCATGGGCATGTAGATCAGCATATTTCTGCCGTCTATTTGCCATCTATTTGCCTGGATTTGAGCTTAAAATCATCAGGAATACATCAGGAACACCTGAGCTTGCTTATGTGTTTCATTCAACACTTAATGTGATTGTAAATAACCAGATCTGAACCCACGAGCTGCAACAACTAAGTATTTTGATTTGCCTGGAATGAAGATTACTTATGCATAGAGCAACAATAGCAAAGAAATACAAGACTTTACTAGTGTTGGTTCCGGATTTAAGATGGCTCATATGTAATGTTATTATATTAGTACATTTCTTTTTCAGTATATAGTAAAAATAAGTGCCACAGTAATTTATTTGGATGGATCCTACAAGACAACCTGGAGTGACATGGAGTGATGTGTTTTGTAGCTAACTAGTTAATATATTCCTAAAGATGTATATTAGTTTTCTAATAGAGAGACACAACTTAAAGAGAGACAAACTTAAAGAGAGACAAATGATTTTGAGTCCAATACATGGCCAGTGGTGACCATGTTTTGCGTGAAACCCTGAACAGTTCAAAATGTGTTGGAAATGTTTAATCATCGCCTTCTGATGTCTGCACTGATGCGTTCATGTGTTCCAGGGAAATGATGACATTTACATCTGTGGGATTAACGCTACAGGTCAGGTTCACATTCAGCATGCATATGCAGAAGGAAGACGTCGACCCCAAATCTTAACTCTGGTAATTTCCATTTATTTCATCACTATGCCAACAAGAATAGGAAAAACGTGTCCCTGTTTTCCGATCTGCCTACAGCTAAAACATCTTACTGATTTTCTAAGGTTGACACTCATGATTTGGGGGTTGAGAGTCTTTGAGGTGATAGTTTGGCTTTAAGCATTGTTATTCTGTGTTGACATTTTCTTTATATATGTAGTGCAATTCATACTGAAATTCAATAAATATTGACTTCCAGATGATTTAGGGCAGGCTTACACCCATTCCAGTGCATTCCAGCACAATTAGCTGCTGGAACGCACTGGATTGCATTAGAAAATCCTCCCTGTATTCTGGGGCGGAAAGGGGTGTGGTGGTGCATTCAAATCAATGGCACCGCAGCCACGCCCCCCGCTCCCAGTGCGATCGCCCACACTGGAACGTGAGGCACATCAATGTCTGCGTTCTGGTCCAGCGCGATCGCAACAAAAAGTGCTTGTACTTTTTTTTTGCGATCGCACTGGACCAGAATGTAGGCATTGCTGTGCCACACGTTCTGGTGCGGGTGATAATACTGTCGCTGCGGTGCCATTGATTTAAATGTACCGCCACACCCCCTCCTCCCCCTGAACCAAGGGTGAATTTTCTAATGTGATCCAGTGCATTCCAGCAGCTAATCACGCTTGAACGCACTGGAATATGTGTGAACCGGCCCTAAAAGCTACATTGTGAATGCCCCAAGCACTCTTACATGGCAGGCATTTTAAATATCAGTTCCGGTTCTTTTTTAAGAGTGTAAAAAGTATGGGCACAATTGGAACAGATTTATTGCAGATTGCAATATGGTAAGTTATTAATATGGTAAGCATTAACCCCCTGAGTTTTCAGAGCAGAGAGGAAGCCACTCAGCACAACATAATACCAGGGTGCAGATGATCACTTTTAACACTGTACTAGCTCTGGCTACTAAAGTGCTTTACAGGATCACCGTGAGCCACTGAGGTATGACATATGCATACTTACATTGGACAAAGCCAGACCAATGCAAGTATGCATTATAAATTGTGCCTGGAGTTCAACTTTAAGTGCTGCAAGGAACCTAGAAACATCTTTTTAAAGTTGATCTAAAGCCAAAACTTTTTTTTGTGGTGGTGATGGGTTAGAACCATTGTCAAGTATTTTTTGCTGTGCAAAGAACCACTCCCCCACTATGTCTTGGTAAGCATTGTTACCAGGACTGAAAGTAAGGTAGAATCCAAAATTTTTAGTTATCACTGAAATAGCAATAGCTGGAAAACATTTCAATTGGGGCACGTTTCAGTGATAACTGCCTAAGGGGAGATTTCATATATAATTGAGAACTTTCTTCTTTGTTATGCCTCTGGGCCAGGAAGTAAAGGTGATTCTCCCCAATGGAGCACAGCAAGTGAAAGAAAAATCTGACAGGGATTTCAACCCTTCACTACTCTATCCAAAGCAAAAATAATGTATTTGTTTTTAGCTATACTTTAAGAAAATGATCATACATGCAAATTGCTTGTTTTGCATTTGTCTTGTGCTTACTGCTTCCAATAAAGAAAATGGCAGAAATGCTTACTGGGGAACTAAAAGACATTGGTTTCACTTTTAGTGATGTCAACAAAACAATGGGCTGTTGGTGACTGAAATATGTTCTATGATTTGTCCATCTTGCCAGACTAATGTAGAAGCCAGTCTTCTGTCATACAGTGGTGGAGTGATACAATGCACGTTCTCTTCAACGAACCAAATCTCAACACAACAGCCTGTGCTGCAATCCCGATCCAGTAACAGTTCGGATGTGTACTATGTGCTAGTTTGCTATGGGCCCTCTCTTAATGGTGAGAATGCTTTACATTGTAACACACAATTAATATACCTATTTTTAAACACTTAAAGCCAAATTAGTGAAAATTCAAACAAGATTTATCCAGTAAAAATTACACTCCCTGGAATTCAACAACATCTGTTCTTCAACAGGATCTTTCTTGTACTATTTACCTTATATAAGAAACGAGTGAATGTTACCTTTGATGCACATTCACCTGATATTCACTAATTTTTCTGAAATTGTTTAAATCTTAAAACTTTTTGTACTTTTTGGTTTAACAATTTATAAAAACCTGACAATTAACCTTTCACCATGAAGAGCTTATGTCAGTAGATTCACCTGCATGATAATACCTATTCTTCACAGATACTATACATGTGAGATTTGTCGGCTGTTTGCAGGCAGCTGCACGTGCCTGGGGAACTATTGTAAACATTTTGAATATGACTGTCGAATGCAGGGCAAATTCCATCAAATATCACTTAGGCAAATAACTATTAATTGCTCACTGGTTGAATTGCCCAGTAATTCTTTGATTAATAATAGGATTTTTTGACTTACCTGTAAAATCCTTTTCTTAGAGTACAGTACATGACAACTGGCTGATTCAAAATGACTGGATAAAGTCATGTGGTTGGACACCTCCCATCACTAAAGAGGGGTAATGTCCTGTGTTTTGTACTGTACTCCAAGAAAAGGGTTGTACAGGTAAGTAAAAAATGTTATGTTCTTGATCGTACAGTACAGGGCACAGGCCGATTCAAGATGACTTGGACATCCAAAAGCAATAAACAGAGGGGTGGGGACCCAACCTCAACCACCAGACTGTGCAGCACAGGATAACATAACCTGCTGCCTGTAGAACCGTATGGCCAATGTCAGCATCCGATGCTGCCTTAAGATCAACCTTTTAAAAGAAAATCCAGCCCTGCTTGGAGAAAAGTGAGGATCTTACCTACTGAGAAAGGATCTAGATTTTTTTCTTTCTCAGCAGGCAAAATATACTTCTCATGTACTGTAACACACCCTGCAAGATGAAGGCTTCCTCGCCATTAATAAAGTAGGTATAAACTCTTCTGGTACATCACTCTCCCTCAGAATCTGGGCATTTACAGCCATACTGTCAAAGCTAGTGACTTGTGACCCTAGGGAACTGTGTTTCTGCCCTCTATGTCCAGATGCCTCTATCATGGCCGAAATCTGACTCATGAAAAATTACATTGATGCTGTAAAATCTTCCTTACTAAGTTAAGGAGAATGAAAGCTAGCGGGCTGAGCAGTAGAAGCATTATAGGGTAAAGGAATTAAAAGATTGACTAACAGACAGAGTCCAAAGGGGAACCATCAGTTAACACATTACGCCCACTAGCAGCTGCCATACCAGTCAATATACTGTATACCCAGTCATCTTGAGTGTCTTGTACTGTACAATCAAAAAATAGCATTTAGTATCTTTGTCAAATCAAGAAGTAAACAATACTGTGCAAGAGATATCACAGGCACCTAGGCAAACAGGGTGGAAACCAGGGTTAAACTAATTATCTTTTTGTTATTCTTGTTCCCTAATTATTTTGCATCGGGGGTTGGAGGCTAGCGGATAACCAAAAATTAATTTTGTGTGAAAGGTTTAAACTATTGGGGGAAAAAAGCACTGACATGTTCTAGGACCCTCCCACTTTATTATTTAACAATTCTTTCTTTATAAAGTATTGGACAAGGGTAACATTCTGGATGTACTGCTCCTAATCAACCTAAATTAAAGGGAAATTACAGTGGCTTTGTACAAAATTATTTTATTTTGGTCACGAAAAATGTCAAACATACTTTTGATTCTGTTCTAAAAAATGTTTAGGACTGATTAATTCTGCTGTAAATTCTTTACTAAATACCCTTTAGTAAATAGCGAGGTGATCGCTGCCTCAGTGCAACACACTTCTGGGGAAAGTGGGAATACCGTAAAATTTTCCACATAGATTAGTGTCAACATGTTATCTTTAATAATTGCAAGGGCCATAAAAAAACCTATTCTTAAGCTCATTAGGAAAATAATTGCCTAACAAGCTTAAGTTGTCTCAGTTGCTTGCCAAGATAGAAATGCATCATGTATATATCTGACCCAAATAAATTTATATTTTGTATTCTGTTCCGTTGCATCAAAAGAAAAAACTCTATCCTCCCACCAGTTGGGGCACAAATTGCTGTGCTCTGTGTTTATAGTGTAAATAGTGTCAAAGAAGAAGCAGTGGTTATGTTTAATAATGAATTTCAAAAGATCCTGACAAAATTGTTTATGGGTCCTAAGAAGGGTGCTTGTAAGACATGTGTATATTCTTGGATGACATGGATGTTAAAAAAAAATATTAAATTGACTTTAAAAAAAATAACAGACAACTTTTTGTCAATTACTTTTAATCAATTACATAGGATTGTAATATGTGTCCAAAACATCTCAATATATTGTCCACATATTCAGTTGTGGTCATTGTAAGAATTTAAATATGTAGCTGCAGGAAAAGCAGTAATACAGACTGGCTCAGTTTCTACATGCAGATCTGCATAAGTACCTGTTTTTAGGCTATTTAGCAATTTAAACTTGACTGTAGAAACGGCCTTTGGATAAAAAAATGGTGGTTAGGTAACAAATAGGGATGTTCAGATACAAGTACCGTACTCAGTACAAGTACTGATACTCTTCCAGCTACAAGACTAGAATAGAGAGAAATTCAGAAGTTAGGAGGCAGCTGTCATTTGTAAGGAGCATACGGAGCTCCTGGGATTTGTGCATTCCTGTTTTAATGTATGATTTGTTTTAGTAATATATATTTGGGATGCACCAATACCATTTTTTCAAGTACAAGTACTGATACTTATCCAAGTACTCACAGTAACAAGTACTGATACATATTTATTGTTAATTGTCATGTGGCAGTTTTTCTAAAACAATACAGACTAATGATTTCAGGACAGTGGTGGAGTGCCAGAGCTAGGTCCCAGCTGCAACCACTACAACCCTGGTAGTTCTGGTGAAATGCCAAATGTCGGCACTGGTATCTTAACTGGTATCTGAACATCCCTAGCAACACAAATCTACAATGTATTTATTACACCATCACTGTTTACTTCCTAATCATACAATTTCTGTAGGTAGGTAAGAAGAAAAAATATAGTAGAATGGAAACAGAAATCACATGTGATGCACACTGACATCATATTCCAACCCATCTACACTCAATTCAAAGCTAAAAAATAGTTTTGACTAAAGATGCATTTTCTGCCAATAGATGTCCCCATTTGGGTTGAATTACACCCAACATCCTTCAAGACTGAGGACACTGTGAGTGAAAGGCATCATAGTCACACCCCAGGAGGTGGCATCACTGCTGTATCCTGCACTCACAGTGTAATGATGCACAATCACTTCAACGCAACTTTCTGCATCACAAGGCGGGGAGGGGCCAGGAAGGAATTGGAGCGCGTAGACTATAGTTGGGCTTTCATTATTTAGTATACTGTATTTGTATTGTTAGCCATGAATGTCTCTAATCTTTTCTATATTCATTAGGTGCAATTCAATTTCATGGGCCCAGTGTATTCATAAGTGACAGCAAAGTAAATCTTTCTGCAGTTTCCAACGTGACCCACACAGAAAATGGAGTTAGTGTAATGATCAAGGCACATGGTTTGTAATGATGTTAATTTATTTTTCATTTTCTATTTCCCATGAGATAAACTTTTTACATATTTTTTGAATATAATAATGTGAGTTAAAATATATTACTTACCAATTCTTAGACAGCTTAACTGAATAATGACTAGCAGTCTCTTGGCATAAAGCCATGTCATCGGCTGCATGACATAGGGCTGCTCTATAGGCTGCATTCATTCCCGCTGGTGCTGCTATATGGGCGTCCCATGTGTGATAGGAAAAGCTGAGAAAAAGGGAGAGCAGGGCAACCTTGACTCCATCAGACAAGGGGCTGCTCTATAGGCTGCATTCATTCCCGCTGGTGCTGCTATATGGGCGTCCCATGTGTGATAGGAAAAGCTGAGAAAAGGGGAGAGCAGGGCAACCTTGACTCCATCAGACAAGGGACACCCATACAACAGCATCAGTGGGAATGAATGCAGCCCATACAGCAGCACCAGCAGGAATGCATGCACCAGTGGGAATAAATGCTGGTTTGAATGGACCACGCCATCATACAGAAACACATGCTAACAAAAATATGAAGGTACCTAAAAGTTTTATCTAGCTTTTATGGCTGTTTTTATTTTGTAAGTATAAATATCATAGGAATGGTTGCACCTAAAAATGTAATAAAAAATGTGTCCATTTGGGGGGGTGTGGCTAGGATGTGATCTGGGACAGACATCCGTTGGCTGAGCTCAGCTACCTTAATCCTTCTTTTATCCTGGCATGGCTTCAGTATCCTGAGCCCTCTGCCTTACTGATCTCTCCTTCACTGCGGACTAATGGATGCTTCCGGATTTCCTTTGAATATGTCTCTGAGACCTCCCCAAGCTACTTTTTCCGCGCTTGACCGAGGCAGCCATCCTGCCTACCTATACCTCTTCTTCATCTCCCACTCCTCTGCCGATATCTTGGCTTTATTGGATAGAGTGGCACTAAATTGGTTGTCAAATGAGAAACGTGAGTCCTTGGTCAAGCCCGTAAGCACAGAAGACGTTTTTGCAGTCATTTGATCCTTTCCTAATGGTAAGGCCCCTGGGTCTGATGGCCTCCCCATTGAATTTTGTAAGGCTCACACTGACATACTTGCCCCTCATTTATGTGATATGTACACTAGCTGTCTTGCGACAGATGTTTTGCCGCCTTCGATGAGCGAGACTCATGTTACCCTGATTTATACACCTGTATAAATCTGAAACATAATAGACTCATACATGATTTGATTGACTCAGATTCAATTGCAATGGGTGGACACTTATTTAGGAATAATTGTCTCAGGTAACCATGGTGATTTTCTGCAGTTGAATGTGTTACCTGTCCTGCAAGAGGTGAAGGTGAAACTGAAGGCATTGGGCAAACTTCCATTATCTTTACTTGGCCACATTAATTTGATCAAAATTAAAATGGGCAAAATGCGACATCAAAACCTTATCTCATATGATACAGGAATGGACCTTAATGCCCTTCTCTACTTCTTGTTGTCGATAGTCTGTGCCGATTACCCACTATTATAGATATCTGCCATATACCAGATTTGGATAACGAAACTTAGAATGAGGTCTGGGATTTGCCTTTTAAATAATTGATTGCTATTCGGGATAGATTTCTTCCATTGAAATTGACACATCAAGCATTTTTTACGCCCTCACGTTTGAACAAACTTAATCCTGTGGTTTCTTCGGCTTGTTGATGTTGTGGACTCTCCAAGGGTTTTTTTTTTCTCATATATATTGGACTTGTCCTAGGATTGTACCTTACTGGAGTTCCTTGGATATGTCCTCCGCAGCCACAGATGTCTTAAGCTGAATACGTTATATACTATGATGTCTTTCTTATGGGATGAGCTACTATGTAATGCAGCACTGTTGTGGGTAACTGAATGAGCCCTCCCCTTTCTCCCCCCCACCTTTTTTTTTGTACTTTGGAACACTACTTGGAGATTTATCTTGCATATGTTCTAGAAGCTGCTCTTTTATTTATCTGTGCCAACCCACCTGAGTGTTAGGACACACAAACCAAACCCCTCTCCCCCTTTTTTGACTTTAGCAGATTGTTGTACACTGTCAATTGTAGTTTCTTTAGTACTGTTTTTTCCTTTCCCTTAATGGGGTCTCCCTGCGATGTTAGAATAGATCTAAAATTGGAATAAGGATCTGGTGCATGGGAAATAATTGGAACTGGCCAATATAATTTAATGCTATTAAAAAAACATTAAAATAAATTATTACAGAGTGAAAGAATATGCATGGTGTATAACTATTAACTGCTAGTATTGGTTACAGGTGCTCTCATGCTAATTGCTTGGATGACCACAGGAAGTCTAGGAATGGCTCTTGCCCGATATTTCAAAGTTGCGGCACAAAAGCTGTTTTTTGGCAAAGCCTTTTGGTTCCAGGTAAACACAAGACAATTTTCTATTTTTAAATAATTACAGGGTCAATTTTTGAAAAAAACAGGCATGTTAAAGGTGTTATTAAGGTTCCTATTTTTTAGCTATTATGCAGGGGAACTAAGGCTAGATCAGGGCATGTTTGATGACATCCGACTGACAGCGGCTGAAATAGAAAAAACCTGCAAGCTCCAACTGGTCTCTGGAAGCTGAAACCACCAGAGGGAGCTAGTGCTCTCCATTCAGGTATACTATGACTGCTGATATGTGTGGCATGGACACCTACACCAGATACTGAAAAAGCTCTGCAGCACAGATACACAGAAGGGACATTTGGATATGTCCATGGTGTTTCCTGCCCCAGCATCATAGACAGTGTCAGCTTAGGATTCAAACAAGATGCATATCAAGACAAAAATTACAAAAAGGATATTCATAAAGTAATTTGCATAGATATGTTTAAATTATTTTTTGATAGTTGGTCATTAAGAACACTATGTTAAAATGCACTATGGGGCATATTTATAAAGAAGTGAATGTGTTTTAATTTAAAACACGTGCACTAGAAAGATACGCCTGCAGTGAATATGTGGTGATTGTCACAATCACTGTTCTATAATTACACCTCTATGTGATAATATAATACGTATCTTACTGTATAGGTAAAATTTAGAAGAGGGAACAAATATTATATATTAGGCATGTGCACAGCATAAAAATTTGTTTCGGGCGAAAAAAATGAAAAGTGAAAAACCTTTTCAGTTGATGATACAGATAATTATGCTGTTTCCGATTCGGAGACAACGAACATCCAAATCCAAAAGCCCACATTTCAAAAACAGAATTTTTGGCCACCGGCACATTCTGCACATGCGCGTTGCCATTTTGGAGGCGGGGAGCATGATGTCACATGGTGCATGTATGGGCGCCTCCATCTTTGATACAGCAAGATGGCGCTACACATACAAAATAAATTACTAAATGCCTAAATATATTTTTTCAATATTTGGTCATATAACTTTATCCTGGCATTTGTGCAAACAAAGGGATGGGCCAATGTAAGTAGTGCAAAATGTATGAATGTATGTTGTTCCTCTCTAAATGCAGATTCAGTCTGTTCAGACAAACTGAAAATGCTTGCTAAGTTGCAGTTGTTAATGCCCAACTTGAGCAAAGACTTTTAAAGTTTTGGATAGTGGTAGCCCAGTAAAGCCTTCATAAAACAGAAGGTCCATTCCACCACATATCCCAAAAATATGAGAATTTTTCCTCATTTCAAGACAGTGGGCGGAGCCACGAAAATCATCCCTTTGTTTTCCGGTTATTTTATTATTTTTTCTTTTTTATTGTACATTTATCCAAGCTTTTCATTTGCTGCAAGATAAAAATAGGACTGGGGTTTAGGGTTTCAGGTTTTATTTATTTTTGGAAGGGGGGTTATTTTCTGTTGCTAGGACTTTCTTTATTTCAGGGTACATACAACACTTTTTAACAACACTTGTTGCTAAAACAGGCAAAGCTGCCATTTGTTGCAGCACTTCACCACATACCTGTGTGGTAAAGTAGTACACACCAAAGCAGCACATATTTATCCGCCCTATTATCATAGCTGCAATTAAAGCAAAAACATTTTTTTATACAGGGATAAAGTGAGAGGCAGAGGTTCTGCACGTGGTGGTAGTAGGGGGCGAGCAGATTCTGGACAAAGCAGTGGTTGGGCTCAGAGTGGCCGTGGAATACAGCCACAGTATGTGCAAGAGGTAGCTGGGTGACTGGCAAAGACTTTCTCTTTTTCCTCTTCCTCTTCCACAGAGCAACCAGATGTCTGTAAAAGCTGGCAATGTACCCTCTTCTTTTTCCTCCTCCTCCCTCTCTGCTAATCATGCCTCACTGCCAGTTAAAAAATGGCAATAAGGAGTCAGTGAAATTATTTGGTCACATGATCACTGAATTGCTGCAGGAGGATAATTTTGGTCATGCACAAGCATTCATTCTTTCAGATACTGAGGGTGAGGAAGATAGTGCTATGACGAACCCTAGAGTACAGATCACTGCTATCTCCAGTGTGAGTCCACAGAGTTTTGTAGTGTGGGTCTTTTTTCAACATATCTGCTGCCAACAGCACTGTTATGGTCTGCAGCCTCTGCCTGCAGCATATCAGCCATGGTAAAAGTTCCAGGCGTTTGGGTAGAACATTCATGGAGAAACACTGCAAGACAGAGCTTAGTGTGAGCAGCACCTCAATGGGCCAAGTTGATAGCAAAAAGCATGAACTCCTCTTCCTTCATTGTTCTGCTGCATTGCAACATCTGCAATCTCTAGTAACAGGAAGCAAAGTCTTACAAGGAGTTTCAGTGGTAAAGCAAAGACTTGAACATTTGCAGAATTCTTCTACACCCACCCCGCCATCTCCAGCAGCATCGTTCCCAAGGCAGGTGTCTCTTCCACATGCAGGAGCATAGAATTAAAAAGGACCGCAAATCACCTCCATGCTCAGCGCCTTAATGCAGGCTAGGCAAAACTGGTTTGCAGTTGCTCCCATTTCAGCTCAGGGAATCAGTCCCCTCCTGTGACTTTATGGCCTGGGCTACACTACAATGGTAGGCAGTCAGCCATTTTTTTTGCCCAGAAGGCCATCCCTGCCACCATGTCTGTGGCACTGGATCCTGCTGTCAATGGCAAGGCCAAAATGACCACAGACACATGGTCCAGTAAGCATGGACAGGGATGCTACATATACTTCATGGCACACTGGGTCAATTATCTGACTGCTGGGAAGGATGCAGTATGGGGCACATTAATGGAGCTGTTGGTGCTATCCTGTGTTTTGTGTGATGGTGACAGTGCAGACCTATAAGCCTTCTTCTTTACTGGCCTCATCCTCCATCGCCATATAAACCGCAGTCCACTCCCCCACCTCCCATCCCTCAAGTGCCTCAAAGCATATGCAACGTCAAAGGCTGAATGCTCCATTGCTGTATTGCACTCAAATGCCTAGGGACCGGAGCGACACTGTGCCAGCGCTGCTCACATTTCTCTAGGCCTAGGCTAAGATGTGGCTTACCCAATGGCATATTTAGCCAGGTAAGGTAACGTGTGACAATAACACTAACCTGCTGGCTACCCTTTGCCTTGGGAAAGTTACATATGTACCTTGCCTGGCACATGTACTCAAAGTGGAGGTGCGGCGGTCAATCATTGAGTACCCTGACTTTCAGGAGGCCTTTTGTCAGGCCAGAAGAGTTTGGGGCCATTTTAGGTGGTCATACCTGACCAGTGTTTGTCTGGCAAAAATGCAGGCCCAACATTAGCTGCCTGCCAACCACTTCATGTGTTACCTTTGCAATTATGGCAGGAGGACAGGCTCTAGGGAACTAGGGTTCTTTTTAATGCATCAATGACTCTTTATTCAAGACAAGTGCAGCATTTGGGTACCTTTTTGAAGAGGCAACCAAAATGGTACGCTGCAAAGAGGCAGGGATTAGTGATACAATTTCTCTCATGTTTCTCCTGGGGCACACTCCATGGCTTCTAAGACCAGGCTCTGTAGGCACAGCAGCAGGAGGAAGAGGAGGATTTGCTGCTGCCACAGTGAAGGAAGAGGACAGGGTTTGGGGTGCTGGTGGTGAGGAGGAGGAGGAAATGGGGCGAGGTTGAAGGGGACACCTCACCCCTCCCAAACCCCAAGATATGTATGTGGGCGGAGTAAGGTTGTTGAGTCCAGCCGTGTCCTTACCAACACCAAGTACACAAAGGACTCCAGGATCCTCTGCTACATGCAATATGTGGCAAGCGGGGACTTTTATGCTCAAAATCCTGCACAAGGATCCTAGGATTCGAGGTTTGTTCTGAAAGTTAAATACCTTACTGTTAAATAGGAACAGTCCATAATACTGGGTAGGGAGTCAATTCTTCCAAAAAGGAACGATAAGAACAGGTCCAAATTGGTTACATTGTCCTTTTTAGAAAGGCAAACTGTTGCACATTGTTAGTCCCATTCAGAGGGAGAGAATAGTTATTGTGTTGCCCATTCATGCAGAAAACATACTGTCTTCTCTCCGCTGTCTTGGTGAGGTCTCACATTGCAGGCCCATGTTCTAATGGGCCTTGCAAGCCTCATTCAATGAGGAGAGCCTCCAATTACGTGTCTTCTTATATTCCTGCACTAGAATGTTATAGCAATGGCTTGCTAGTGCCACATAGACAACATTTTAAAAGTTACACTCTGTTTCAAGCTGCTTACATACTGTCGAGCCACTGAATAATATTTGTGGCTATTGTCTTTTAGATTATGCACTCAAATGTCTGTTTTATAATAAAACCTATTTTTTATAAAGTGGTTCCCTTTTCCTTCTGTTTAGAATGCTATAACACATGCCGTTATTGGGTGTATTGTAATAGGCCTGACATTTGTCCAACCATTTATTGCTTTCTTCCGACCATCACCTGAAAATAGCAAGTAAGTCATCTTTAGACATTTACCAAAACAAACCCTTTTGTCTAATGTGCATTATGTAAAAATACATTGAATGTGTTTTAAAGGAGAACTATGAGGTGAGTGCTTTTCACTCACCTCATAGTTCTAGCCGACCTGTGACAATGAGACTGTCACAGGTCGGCTCAGTAGATCGGGAGGTGAGCGAACACATATCGGCGTTTGCTCACCTCACGCAGCTGGGCGGATCCAGACATAATTGTTGGGATCCGCTTCAGCATCTCAGTATACCGCGAGCAGTAGCTTGCGGTATACAGTAGCTTGCGGTATACTGTGGCGTCCTCCAGTCACCCTAAGCTCAGTATACTGCGAGCTGTAGCTCGCAGTATACTGAGCTTAGGGTGACTGGAGGACGCTAGTTTGTGTCCTCCAGTTACCCTAAGGAGAACTATGGGGGAAAGCCTTAACCCCATAGTTCTCCTTTTAAAGTCCAATTGTAGACACTTTTTTGTTTTGTTTTTCTAAACAGGGGAAAGGTAAAAACTTTTCTCAGATTTTAAATGCTGTGTCTGTTGCATGGAGTAGAGCGACATTTTCTGTTTGACACACATAACAGGGAAATCTCCCACAGTGTGAGACAGACAGCAATATCCTGTTAGAGGGTCTAAACTTTCTTTACTCTGTTCAGAGTTTTTATTGCTGCCTTTCTCCCCCTCGGGCAGGATTTCTTCTCATATCCTGCTCTGTTTCACAAATCAGACAGACCTGTCAAATAAACAGGAACTAAGGAGATTTTTCCTTACTTGCTATTCTGTGTAAGAATACACAGAATGAAGTAAGAATACTCCAACTCTAATACTTTTAACATATTGTATTGATTTCCAATAGCACTCAGGTTCCATTTACACTCAGGTTTCTTTTACATGCACACTATGTAAAAGAAGATTTTAGTAAAATGACCTAGTTTAGCAATGAATCATTTTGATTAGAAATCTGTTTGAATATTTGAAACATATGGCTTTTATTTACATTAGGATGCTGTGAGCCAACAAAAAATCAGCAATTTTGTGGCTAAATTAAATTTCCCAAAATCCTTTTGCTCATACCTACTCATGGACTGAAGCACTGAAATGTCTGTTCCTGGTCCTGAAATGAATACATGTCTGTTCCTGGTCCTACTTCAGCAATTACGGGGGAATCTCACTTTTCCTATAAGATATTTTACTTACATTATGGTTTTTCATGTAGTAAATTTTTACATTATTGCAATACTGGCACATGGGAAAACGCTATTGGGCTTCTGGAGGTATATAAGAAGCCAATAGCTGGATTGATCATTTACAGAGGCAGATATTCTTAAAAGAGAACTATGGCATAACCTTTTTATCCCATAGTTCTCTTTAGGGTCACGGGAGGACATATACTAACCCCCTCCCGTGACCCAAAGTGTCACGGGAGGAGTCATAGTGTTCTGTTTAGGCTTTTCTTCTTTTTTTTTCTCTCTCTATAGGTTGAACTTGATGGACTTGTGTCTTTTTTTCAACCTGACTCACTATGTAACTATGTAACTATGTAAAGCTTAGTATATAGCGAGCTATATACTCAGAGCGCTGCAGCCGCGACAGATCCCGACAATACCGTCGAGATCCACCTAGCTGGCTGATTGACAGCGGGCTCTGCCTATCCAGAGGCAGAACCAGTTGTGCCAGCCCCCTCTGTTCCTGCCTTCCGCGCTGGAGGATGAATCACTCCTTTGAATCATCCAGATATAAGGGCTTCCCTGATGGCTGCCAAGAGTAACACCTTATATGAAGATTTGTTTACTTTTATTTATAACTTTCACTTTTTTGTACTTCAACATCCTCCTAGACCCCTATATATGTGTATACATCTACTGTAATTAGTACCTAGAACATAACCCATTATTTATAACCACATAGGTAACTCATCTCATTTGTGAAAGTGAAAACAACTGACATAAAAGAGGCTGTCTATGTCTAAATGTAACAACCATTCCTAAAGAGGGGTGGGGGCCTTTGACACAATCTTTTATCCACATATAATGGTTTGATAATATATATAACAGCATTGCTTCACAGACTGTCATACCTCTCATCTTGGTCATGGACAATCAATAGCTGCCCTGACATATTCCATGGTGATTAGATTAAGAAACTGTTTGTATGAGTAAACATCTTCAATATTACAGAACATGTCTAGTTGCATGTGACTAACTCTCTCTCTATATAAAATAATTGGGTGACAGAATTTGTGTATGGTACCTATATCTAATCAGTTTTCCCATTTGTCAACAGGAGATTCATTTTTAATTGGTTCCATCGTATCAATGCCTCTGTGATAAAGGTTTTGGCAGGTCAGCATTTTTATTTGAGCAATCTACTTTTTAGTTTGAGACTGAAAAAAGAGAGAGAGAGAGAGCGATATGGAGAGAGAGCGATATGGAGAGAGAGCGATATGGAGAGAGAGCGATATGGAGAGAGAGCGATATGGAAAGAGAGAGAGATGGAGATGGATGTGTTCATGTCCGCCTTTGGAGCCACACGCAATAAAAGTGTAATTTTTTCTTTTAGTGGCCAATCTTTTCCTGGGACTGCAACTCATAGACCACAAAAATGGATGGATGGTAGAAGTGATGGGAGGGTTCGTTGGCTGGTGGGTGCTATTCCTAATTGTTTTTGAGATAAATGCTACTCTGGCTAAGAAAGGTAAGCAATTTTGTTATGTGCATGGTGGGTGTGGCCTAATTGTGCTAACAGTGGGAGGGGCTTAAAGGGGTATGGTTAAATAAAATCTGAATCTACTCACTGTATACACAACAGACATATACTGTAACACAGTCCTTTAGTACCCACAAAATATACTTTTATTACTGTGTCACAAGCAAGAATGACAGAGACATAACAGTAACCTTATCAAAATCATTTAAAAAGAAAAAGAAACTTCCATTGCAGATGCTTTTCTTTACACAAAAGAGCTGACACAGCTCTTGTATATGCGTACCTTAAAAAATAACTTATTTTAAAAAAGTCAGGAACTGCTTAGCAACTAGCAAATGCTGAGACAATGAATAATAAAGTGTAGACTCAGGAATATATAATTTACAGTGTAGTGTAGTGTATATAGCACATGGGTCTGGAGCATGTAATGTACAGTCCAGTATACAAAATGCCACGGAAAGGAGTGTGTAATGTACAGTCTAGCATACAATACAACATATATAATACAACAATAAGGGTTATATTCTATATAGCACAGAATACAGGGTATGTTGTTTAGGAGTCATTATATACTCCTGACCTCTGACTGCTATTCTGTATATTGCATACTACATACAGGTGGACTCCCAGCATGTGCAGGGGTAATGTGTACTTAAAAGAGAACTATGGGGTAACCTTTTTTCCCCATAGTTCTCTTCAGGGTCATGGGAGGACATACAGGTGAAACTCGAAAAATTAGAATATCGTGCAAAAGTTAATTTATTTTACTAATGCAACTTAAAAGGTGAAACTAATATATGAGATAGACTCATTACATGCAAAGCAAGATAGTTCAAGCCGTGATTTGTCATAATTGTGATGATTATGGCTTACAACTCATGAAAACCCAGATCCACAATTCCAGAAAGTTTTTGGCAGTGTGGGCAGGTGCCAAGTCCTGCTGGAAAATGAAGTCAGCATCCCCATAGAGCTCGTCTGTGGAAGAAAGCATGAAGTGCTCCAAAATCTCCTGGTAGACGGCTAAGTTGCATTAGTGAAATAAATGAACTTTTGCACAATATTCTTATTTTCCGAGTTTCACCTATATACTAACCTCCTTCCATGACCCAAAACTCAGTATATAGCGGGCAATGCTGAGACCGCAGCAGCGGGGACGAATCCCGACAATACTGTGTGAGAGAGTCAACTGTGCCCGCCCCTCCCCTGTCAGTTCCTCCACTTAGTGCTGGAGGATCAGAGAGGGGAGGGGGGAATCCCTGTGGGGAGTGGTGACTGACAGTCACCGCTCACTGCATTTTTACTCACCCCATAATTCTCCTTTAAAGCACAACTGTAGTTCCATAGCACTTGCCATAATTATCCCCCCCAGCAAACATCCCCCCGCTCTCACCTTTAACCAGCCCCCTTCCCCAGCAAACTCCCCTTCTACCTCAAGAAAAAACCCAGCAAATCCCCTAGTAAAAATCCTCCCCTCTGTAAAACAAGTCCCCCCACTTCTCTTAAGCAATCCCTCCCCAGCAAAAAGCTCCCCAGCCAAGTGCCCCTTCATATGAAAATCCCCCACCCAAAAGCACACCCCA